AAAAAAAAAAAATAGTCCACTTTAAAGTTACAAGTGGAAACGAGACTAGAGTTGACCCATCTTCCTTTATCATGTTATTTTTTAAGCTAACTGATTTTCTTTTATCATGTTATTTTTTAAGCTAACTGATTTTCTTTTATCATGTTATTTTTTAAGCTAACTGATTTTCTTTTATCGTCATTTTCATAAGAAAAGGAAAGAGGTTTGTATCAGAACAAGGTCAACCTCAGCCTCACTTAAACTCAGAGGCTAGGATACTAAGCCCACAACTGTAAAATAGTCTTTTTTTTACAAGCAGCACGCCGACGCCATCTTGGGTAACCGAGCTAGATATGCGCATGTGTTGAGTCCTGTGAAAAAGGTCTTGTGCCACTTCCTGTGGGACAAGCCAAAAGTGCAAATTATGCTCGAGCAGTGTTTTTTTTTCGCAAACTAGATGAAAATGATGCTCTTAATGACAAATTATGCCAAAGATGATGCTCGCACAATCTATCAAAGCCTTCCGCTCCCCCCCCCATCACCAATCCTAATTCTTTCATCTGTTGTTGTTTTTAAAAGGAAGAAAGAAGAGATTTCCGGCCTGCATTTACTTTAGCACGGGATGGGAGAGAAGGAAGATCTGCAAGCTGTTTGTTTAATTGCACTACTCCTTGTACTTATGATCCATTTTCACGATTGGTTTTGCAACAATTAAAGCACGGCATGTCACACTTGTCCTGAGTTATATAATAGCGGAGCTCCCTCGCGCGCGAAGCGCACACAGCGGAGTACCATGAGTATAAAGAGTGGTAACCTATAGATCTGAGAAATTTTGGTTATCACGTGACCGCCCGTCTGTCCACCCCCTACGTGTAAGCCGGTGTAAAATGTCACAGTTTACTACTCCCACTTCCACCCGGACTTCTTAGAGAGAAAAAGCAACAACAAAGCCGAGTCTTTTTTTAACGAAATGTTGATGTCTACAAGAACGTGGATAACAGAGAAAGAGCTAGCGCGAGAGATTAAAAAAACAAACAAACAAACGAACCGAAAAGACGAATTTTGTTAAGCTGAAAAAACAACACGAAGATTTTATAACGGCGGGGAGAAAATGAGAAATGATAGCGGCCAGCGAGGTGCAAAATCAGCTCTCTAGAGAAAGCATGTGGTTTCATTTTTTTTTTCGCTGTGCAACTAGTTTTTTCCCGTTGAAATTTTCTACTCCTTTCAAGCAAATGCAATACGCGTATGCTACAAAGAAATGTTTACACAAGTGACAGTTTTGTGCATGCATTTTGTCCCTGCGCGTTTTTTAACAGCGTGAATTCCAATTTTTAATCCGACGGATGACTCGAAAATATATATATTGCTACTAAAGCAACTAAAAATGATGGAATAGCAGAGACAAAATCTCGCCAGACACGAGAAATGTAATAAAACGAGACAACAAGCCAACGGGGACTGGTTCTGCAAAGGAAGGTCTTAAGAAGGAAAAAAAGAAAAAAAAAGAAAGAAAGAAAGAAAAGAAAACCCCGATCAAAAAAAAGGCGAGATCAGGTCAAGAAAGAAATTTCAAATTTTCTTGATTGGCTAGATTGTGAGAGAATGACGTGATGTTATCTCCTGCGCGCGCTATGGCGTGTGTTTTCATTCTGTGTCTTAAGTTCTGTTCAAGTAAATTTTTTCCTTGAAGAGGTATTTTTCCGTCTCAATACAACTTTTAAAACTATTTTTATCTCATTTTTAAAGACTTTTTAAAACTCTCTCTCGGTATCAAAATTACGACTTTTGAAAAGGGTAAAAAAGAAATTCTGTCACGTACTTTTTAAGCTTTTAACGCGCCCCATAATAATTAAATTCTAGTCCTATTCAGGACTACGTTCACCCAGACGATCAAACTCAACCTATTTTTTAAATGACTCCTGGGTTCAAACCTTTCAGTTTTAAATTTAAACTATACTAGCTGTCGCTTTGAATTTGATGTTACGAAGAAAAACAACAACAAATTAGTTGGTTTATACTTAAGATACCACGTTTTGCAAAAGAAAACTTCACGGCTCTCTCTTTAACACGTCGAAAATTGAGGATTTCTTTCGAGCATGCGCTCTTTCATCGCCTGTCCCATTCCTGACGGGCGGTCACGTGTACAGATCGGATTTGAACCGATCTCGTCTTCGGCTTCGTCAACAAGAGATATGCGTACGAGATTATTTGCACACCAATGTAACACGCACGCAACATTGTTTGCGCAACAATGTTGGGAATTTTTGCGTCCCTTTGCACGTAGCTACAGTGTTACGTCGTCCAAATCGTTCTAAAATCATCTTTGTCTTAAAACGAGGTTAAGTGTGAAGCCATTCATCCGAAAATGATTTTTTTATTCTCTCATACAAAGGAATCTCACGTTCACACGACGCTGGACGAATTTTCGACCGGCTGAAAAGTTTGACCGGAAACTGTTCCCACTGAATCGTTTAATATTTTCGCTCTGTTCACACGGAACTGACTAACCGGTTTGGATTTTAACTTTTCTCAGAGGTTTCAACTTCTGCTTATCCGCAGAGCACTTCTTAAGCAAATCCAAATTGGCGTCTCCCAGCTAAGTTAACATGCACACATTCACGCAATCGCGCCCTTTCCTTACAAACATTTAGAGGGCTACGGTGTTCACATTGCTGCGGTCCAATTTTCGACCGTACCGTCTAAAAGTTTGACGTCGATTTTAGTGTTCGGATTTTTGAACGGCTGGGCGATCAAATCTTCGTGAGGTTAGCTTGGTTCCGTGTGAAACGTAACTTTAGTCTAGCTCTGGAATAGCTCTCTGGAGTTTTTGTAACTCGGAAATGGGCTATTCTTCGTGTATAGGTCAGCATCAGGGCAAGGGTACACTTCGTGATGTCTAACTCAGGTTTTTTATTTGCGGTTTTTACTGTACACTGATGTCTTCCGCTTACGATAACCTGTTGTCTTTCTGTCAACACGATTGTTTCTTACAAAGAAAATGTTCGATCTTAAAATTTTCATCGATAAACAATTGTCCAATAGTAAATAAAACGAGAAAACTATGACTGTGATCAACCAATCTGAACAAGATTTCGTCCATTACAACACTTGTAGCGTGATTGACTCAAGCTGCATCTCTGACTAGTTAACAACTTGCTCTGCTTTGTTTTCAATGACGGATATCCACCACCGCCATTTTTCTGCCGTCTACCATTGGTTTAGTGTAACGCACGGTTTGTTGTACAGTACTCTGACCGGATCTTGAAAATGACAGTACATTTTTACTTGGCTATTTCTGCGTTCGTGCAAACTTGATCGAACGTAATGCTAAGAAAGCCTTCTAATCTTTTAAGCGATCTCACAGAAGCAATTGAACTGTGTTCATGGCGTTATCTGGTCATTCGGCTGAACCGAAGTGAACTGAGTTCTTTAACAATCGCGGCTTTTTCGGCCTCCAAGCTTCCCACGTGGTGACGGAGCTCTTCTAGCTGAGGAGAAAGAGAAATGGATGAATGAATAAATGAATGACTGAATCGAAAAATGGAACATAAATATTCGAGAGAAAAGATGGTATAAGAGGGGGCAGTTAGACGGAAAATCTGACCGCAAGTCCAGCGCTCTAAACGCCCGGCCAAGTTGCCTCTCATCACAACATACCCTTGGGTCTCTGGGGATGAAAAAGGTCCTCCCTTACCTCGTTGCGAAGTCCATTATCCTCCTTTCGAGGACTTGAGCCACTCGATGCAGTGACGGCCCTGCAGTGAAATCGAGAACATTGACAACTATTTAATTTATAGTAAATTCAGTGACATTCCTTAAGTTTAATAAAGAACCGCTGTTTCACGTCTGGTTTCCATCTGCTTCGATTGTTGACACGATTTGTTGCCGTTTAAAGGTGATGTTACATGAGACGATGAGCGACGACGATTTTCAGCGCAACACAGCATTGCAATGTTGGAACAATGTTGCAACCATTCGAAACAATGTCCCAACAATGCTGTGACGCTGTGTTGCGCTAAAAATCGTTGTTGCGAATTGTCCTTAATCCTTTAAGTACCAAGAGTGACCAACATATATTTTCTCCTAACAATATCCATACATCACCAAGAGAAAAGGTTATGGTAAACAAAATGATCAGTAAAGGGAAAGTGTTGTGATCAATTACTAAACTCTCTCAACTGATTCTTTATGGAAATGTACGCAGATCTGTCTAGAGAACTTGTATTTGAATATTGAGGCTGAAAGGTTTAACACATTCACACTCAGGGTATTATGATAATGAAAATTTGTCCTAGAATACTGCAATATTCAACCTCTTTTTATTAACTATTCCATCTATCAAAGAAGCTTGGATTATCGCCAAAAGTGTCTTAACTCTTGAGACATTTCCTTCACGCTAATCAAATTTTCTACGTTGAGGCACAATATCGCAATCCCAGTCTGTAAAGCTCCGTTACAATTAAGATACCACGACAGCGAAGACGGCGAAAAAAACGTCACTTATAAGTGACTTCGTGTTCTTTGAAACTTTAAATCGATTATCCCAACTCGCTTAATTTGTTAAATGTAGGCGAACACTCCTGGATTTGAATCCCTAAGAAAATTATGCAAGTTGAAAGAGATTAGGCAATCTCACGTCTTTGTCGCACAGTGACGGCAAAGAAATGTACCGAAAAGTGTGCTGCACGTGCAAGGTTGTTGTTTTGCTAATCTAAACGGCCTATTGCTTTTTTGCCGTTCTCGTTGCCGTCGCCATCGTGACATCTTTTAAAAACACCCTAACGAGGACACAGAGGGAGAAACAACCAAATAAACGTCAGAAATAGAATGAGGAAACTTAAACAAGAAAAGACACAAACCTGTTGGAAAGAACCGGCGTCCGTTCTTTCGTGCCAAGGTCAAAGGAATCATCCTTCTTTACCACACCATTCGGAGTGTTGAGACCGTCCAGCCAGCTTTTGACTTTGCGAGGTGGCGATGAAAAACTATCATCGTCAGGGACAGAGTTCATGGCATTGATTTTGTTGTTTTCGACCTCTGTTGCACTGTGCCATGACTTACTCTTTAGTCTATCTCTTTCATCTTTTTCTTCTTCGCGCTCTGGGGAATTCTCCGCAGATGAATAACTGTGCAACGAGAGAGAGTTATTCAGTTGATCATTCTCCTGTTTAAAAGTGACATACTTTTTCTCTAAGTTCCTTTTTTCTTTATGGACATCTTTTAGGATCTTCTCGAGCTCCCGAATTTCCCGCCAAATCATGCGCTTATTACTCTTCCAAGGCTCGCTCTTTTCGTCTTTCTTCTCCATGTGATACTCCAGTTCATTCTGGGCGATCTCCAAACTGGATTTCAACAGTTTGTTCTCGCGCTGCAGCGCATCTACTTCTTCTTGATAGCTGGAGAGCTTTACTCTGTCCGAAGAGATCTGTCGTTGGGCTTCATGGAGTTCTAGAAGAACTTTGCTGTTGTCGTCCTGTGCTTTTACAAGTGATCTCTCTAGCTCACCCTTCTTGTCTTCAACGCACCGAATCATGGCTTGGTCTGCCTGTGCTGCTGCTCTAAGCGCACTATTTTGTCTCTCCGATTCCTCAAGGCGTAGTTCCAGTACCTCTAACTCCTGTTTAGGGACAAGCTTCTGTTTCGGGCTTCCCAGATGCTCCTTCACATTGTCCTCTGTTTGGCTGTCGTCAGAACCTTCACTGAAAGCAGCAATTTCCTCTTCCAAAATCTTGTTCCTGTTCTCCAGTTCAAAACAACTCTTCTGTAGCTGAAGATTCTCGTTTTGCAAGTCACTAATTTCGTTATCGTACTCTACTCGTAAGTTCACAATGCTCTTTTCCAAAGACTCGACTCGCTCCGCGAGAAATTCACTTTCTCCGTTCTTCTTCTCGTATTCGTTCCTTATCGTAGCCATTCCATCGCTGAGACTATCAAACTTTTCTTTAAGATCATAGTAACGTGTCTCGTAATCTTTCAGCAACTCAAGCTGTTGATGTAACGCGAAGTTCTCGCTAGCAACGGAGTCAAGCTCGTTTCTCATGCACTCTAAAATAGCATTTTCCTCTTCAGCCATTTCCTCGTCTTGAGATACAAGAGCCTGATATTTTTTCAGCACTTCGTCTGACGCAATTTGGGCGATGGTTTCTTGTAATTTCTCCTGGAATCTATATGGGATGTCCTCAAGGGGTGTCCCTTCATATGCGCGTTCTAGTTTTTCCTTTAGCGTCTCCAGAGTGTCCACCTTGGCTTGCTCAACCTGAAGCTTGAACTTCAAAGCTGTTTGCTCGATTGAGTTTAAGTAAACCATAAACGGATCGTCCAGGTCAACCTCGTGTTTTTCATCTGCCTCCGTGTCATAAAGAGCTGTTTCAAATCCAGAATGGCCCTCTGTTGATCGAGATGGACTTTTTGCACGGTCATTTTCTATTAATCTCGTTGTCTTTACCGGTGAATCCAACGTCGCCCAAGTGACAGTTGTTTTCGGGGTAGAATGCATTGGTGGCAGGCCCTCACCGGTCTCCGTAACAAGAGAATGAAGTGTTGAATGGCTCGGGGAGATAGAAATATCCAGAGGCCCTTCTGCGGCTTTTTCTTGTTCGCCAAATACGGTGTCAAGCCCAAGAAACTGGACTTTTTTGCTTGGCGTCGAGATGGCTGATTGCTCTGAATCAGAAATAACTTCATTATCGTTCTCAGGAACATGTACTGGTAATGATGGCCCATTACTGGACGATGACTGGGGATCATCACCAGACATCGCCTCGGCACTGGCTACTGTCTGGTCTCCAGCAGTGGAAATGGTTTCCACACTAGCCGGTGATTGATGAGAATCAACAGACCCTGGTTCACCGTTGGCCAACAACGAACCGCTATCCACAAAGGGTGGGGTAAGGTTGGGATGTGATGCACCATTGGCTAGTGATATTGGTTCAGTGCTGGCCAACGAAGGTGGCCTTTGATCATCGAAAGCATCTGCTACTATTCCCTCTGTTTCTTCATCATTTGTTCCGTTAATGTCCATTACAGGGGAAGGTGCTGAACCGTTTAGGTCCACTTCCGTTGCCGAATCATTATTTAGCCAGGTCTTGGCTGTTGCCAGTTCAGGAGGCATGAATCCTTTCTGCACCGCATCCAACATCAGCTCAAGAAACTGCTGATCAACACTCGTGTAAATTCCTCCATCGACTGGGGGGAGAGTGAAAAGGTCCTCGCCATTCACAGTGACGTAATTGTCGTTATGATCCGGTTGGACCACACTAACTGGGAAACTTTCCGCTGCCTTTGTGGGGACACCCTGCTGTATCATAGATGAGGTAGTCATACCCTCGGTGGGAGCAGGCGCCATATCCTTAATTAACAGCTTTTGCGGAAGTTTCTGAAAATTAAGGCAAAAAAACTCATTCAGTAAGGAACAACGAAAACAACCTGTAGGGTAAATATTTGCCCATATTTCTAATCATTTCAACATGTAGACAGCTTTTAAACCCAACCGCTAAATAATCGGCTGGAATAAAACTTTTTTATATAAAGCTACGTAGCATTACTTTTGAACGACATGAGATGGACACTTGAAAAAAGCATCAAAGAAAACAAAAGTGCGGCCCAAAAGAGGAAAGGCTACAAAAAGGCCTTACATGGCTCTCTATCATGGAGAAAAAAAATTGCCGACTTACATTTCTAACGACCGTAAAGGATAGCGTGATTCCGTGTATAAGGAACAAATAGGTAATTACGTTAAGTCCATTTGACCCGTTAACAAAAGATATTCAGTTCAACCAAGAACCAATATTTGTATCACACTTTATTTGATATAGTCTATTTCATTGCAATAATTTGACTTGACGCTTCTCGCCGGCATTTTGCGTACTAAACTTTTGGCGACGGGAAGTGAAGATCAATTTAATTTAAGCTTCTTTATAAGGATTGAAAAGATATTAATGAAAAAAGAACCACACCTGTAATTACGCATTAAGAAAACTGCCATCTGATAGCTTAAGACATAAGTAATGACAAGGCTGGATTTGTGATATTCTAGCCTGCTCTAATGGTTAGATCGTCGACATCGAAAAAAACGGGAGTTACAGGGAGAAAAACAGTGTGGTGTCTGATTGATAGCTCGAGAATTTTAACGCCTTGACAGATCACTATAATACACTATAGCGATATTTCAGCAACTTATAATGAAGTTCAGTTCATTTTGAAGCAGCGCATGCAAATCAGTGCAACCATTTTTAGAGTCTGTATGATAAATTTAAACTTGTCGTGAATGCTCTTTTTATATATTATTTTCAATAATGATTGTTGCTGGTTAACAGCAGCGATAAGAGCAATGAGAGGGGAGGGGTGGTGCCATCTAGTAAAGTATCACAAAAACATCGCTATGTAAGCGAACTACCGCAATGTAAAGAATGGAAAGTCTCTGTTGTAATGAACTTGGTTTTCAGTTGCCGTTCAATTCGTGCCCTCAAATTCGTAAGTGGTTAACCCAATGACTGCTTTGCACAAAGTAACTGTACTGAATTGAAGTAGTCTCTGGACCGGTTAATCACGTTTATTCGTTTATAACTTTTTAGGCCTCGTCCACAGCGAGGAGGCTATTAGTGAGAAAGCGTGATTTATAAAGTGAGAAATAAGACTATGCTCAGCGTATATTTTTCTTTTATTAAGTTTTTTCGGATGAAAGTTGAAGATAATTGATGTATATTCGCGTGGTAAGCCATTTCCTTAAGAAATTAGCCAGTTTTAAATAGCTCTTCCTTTCAAACGGAACCAAAGTATATTCCCAGTAAAATTTAATAGAGACTAAACTTGAAGAGGCTTTATGCAGTACATTACTTTAAGATGAATTTTGATGTTGAATCACTTTGTAAGTGTTAGGATCAAAATTAATTATGGTTACCTATCCTCGGCCCCTCGCTCGCGCGTTCTCGCGAGGCCCGCGTCGCCCGCCTAAATAGGAGAGCTTGCTCGCAGGCTACAAATGTAGGTGAGCCTTGTGTATAGAGTCAAACAAAGACACATGAAAAGGTCGTTTTAATTTTACGTCGACTTTGAAATGCTAATCTAGATGCGTTGAATAATAGAATTAAACCGTTCCAGGCTAAAAGGGACAGATATATTTTTGTTCAAAAAATTTTCTTCAAGACTCTTTTGGCAGTAAGTTTTACACTAATTTCACAACGAAAGTTTCAGCCCTTCGGGCTCCTAGATCAAGTTAGGGCAAGATGATCCTTCACTTTAAGTTTTCGATATGTAGATGAAATCCCATGGTGTTAAATCAATCGCTTAAGGAGAACTTTTGGATACAGCTGTTTCTTTCATACCTTTTTAAAGAAAGATATTTCGATCTTTACGCGAATGTTTCCACATTATCAGACCACTACCGGGATTAAAAAAATGTTTATCAGTTACCTTTTGAAGCCGTGGTGTTGTAGCCTGGTTTGTCCCTGACTGTATTCGTTCTTGTAAGGCCTTTAAGATAAAAGGAGCACATTAAACGAAATGAAAATCAAAAGACAATCCTTGGGGATCAGATTAAATAGTCAACACGCAAATCAAGTAATATTGGTAGCCAAGTCCCCCCACGTAGAATAAAACAGACCAATTTATAATGGTGTTTTGATGTCTTTGCGTCATGGAACGCAGTTTCTTTCGAATTTGTTATAACTACACGCTATCTACGTTCAGCACAGTCACGGAACGTTTTCTTTATCCCAATACTGGTTCCCACAAAGGGAAAAAAAGCGCAGTTCAAAGAACACAATGTATTTAATAGTTATTTCACACTTAACCTTATTTTATTACGTGATTAATATATAGATGGTGGAAGGGCAAATATTTTGAAAGCTTTTGACAAGTTGGCCCTTCACACGCGAAATATCTAGTACATTACGTTCCGCCTTGAAACAGTTCACGTCTTTCGCGAAAATTCGAAAAACCAACACTTTCTCAATTCACAACGTTTTATCCAGGTAATTTTTTTTGTGAAAAGGATAACGTAAAGATCCCTAACATTTAAACCTGGCCTTTCTGGCTCTAAGTTAGATATAAAAATAGCAACTTTCCAAATGAATCGCTCATTTCAGGAGATATGGCGTTATTGTATGATACTATTAAACAGCTTTAAATAGAACAGCCTACTTAAGGATTAATCCCCCAAGGTACAGGAGGCAAAAGCAGACGGGAAAAGAAGCACTGCTCAAAGCTGAAGCCCCTATGGCCAAAACTTAACATTTTGTCTACCTGCATAACCTTGCACACTTCATTTACATCGGCAGGGAACAAGTTAACTGCTACTTTCGTTCTAAAGTCGAACGGGGAACTATAGAAGCACATATATAAGGGTAGAAGGTATAATACATGGTGTACTGTTACAAAATATCTCACTGCTGTATACATGGCTACGACAGAAGGGAAATATGGATCTCGCTCACAGGTTTAAAAGGTGGATCTAAATTAAGACAAAGATTGCATTTGCAAAAGTAGAGATTGACATCTGTTTTTTTCTCAAAAACTAGGCGGAAAGTAAGTTAACTATTAAATGCTTACCTAATTTGAGGAAACTGGTCAATAACAAGAACTTAAATCAGCATCTATTTTTCAACATCACTCAGAGCGCTTACTAAAACTAGCAAGCCTTTTGTTTTCAAAAGCAAAATAGCCTTAACAGCTCGAAGAATGGTCGATATTAATTTTATTGAAATTGCACAGGTTTGCAGTGGAGCGTTTCGGAAGCGAAACAAAGAAAAGACGATTTCTTTAGAATTAAGTGGCTTAAAACATAACGCTAACTGTGGGAAAACATTTGCGATTCACACCAAAGACACTTTCTGATGATGCCAGTTACTTTCTCGCTTCGAAATGTTTAGGTTGAATTTTGCAAATCTGAGATTCGTTAACATAGGAAACAAAAATATTTCACACATGAACAGACTGGATAGAAAACCACAAGAATGATCGAAAAACAAAGGCTGTTAATTTGCGTAAAACTTCCAGAACAGAATTGGCCGGCGGGGTTTTCTCGTTCAAAAAAGATAACATTTAACCTTACTCAAAAAGTGCGAAACAATAGGTTTAACAGTTTGTATAGGAAGTTGACTGTTGCAACATGCTTGCATATAACTAGTCACAGATCGCATAAATTTATAGCTAACTTCATTTCCACCTGATTGAGGGGTCGCATGGGTCGATCGTTTGGACAAGATAACACTTTGTTTACTGACTCCCTCGCCCTTCTAAACAATCACCACCCTCTTACTGCTACTTACGCTTCAAGGAAGGTAACTCTTAGTCTTTCAAAACCCTCTCTCCTGCACAGTCAAATAAAACCTGCAACAAGCCTTTCCTGCAGCGCTGTTTATCGTTCCGAGAAAAGCACACTTATGTTCCATGTTTAAGAACAAGGCCCGAAACGTGACTTACTGAGACGTCAATGATTATGCTAACTACATCGCAAACGGTGCGTGTTTCTCTTACTCATAAAAAAACGTGACTATGCAGTGACGAAATTTTTAAAGCGGGCAGTATTTTCCTCTGGCACTGGTTATTTCAATCAACAAGGGCCCTAACTTTTTAGTCTCTGGATAAATTCTATAAGTGTGACCATTCAAATCAAAGCTAGCGAGCAGTGCGTTCAACAAGTGTTGATAATTATGCAAAAACAGGGAACAGCTTTAGTGAATGACATAAATTTCTCGAGCGTGACAAAAAAAAAAAAAAAGAAAGACAACTCATTAGAAGCGTATGAGCCATACTTTCCTGTATTGTAAACAGTTGTTTCTTGTATTTTACTGTTTAATCACTACAGTAGCAGCAGTAGTTTCTTGTGCATATTGACCAAGCGTTAGGTCAAGATGGCCGGATATTGGCCAAGTTCTTTTTTGCGTTTTTACTGACCGACACGAGGTCGAGGTCAATGAAAACGCAAAAAAGTACGAGGCCAATATCCAACCGTCTGGGGCTTGGTCAATAAAGGATTTATTATATAGCCAAAAAGAGAACTTTTTCTTGCGGGACCAACGCGGGAAATGGGCCCATCTTCAAAGCGCCCGCTCGGGTGGCCAATCAGAACGCAAGATTCGCTTCACCTTACCCGCTCGCGGATTCAGCCATGATATATTAATGTTGGTTACTATTAAGGACGGATTTAAGCTTTTTTTTTTAGTTTCCACACTCAATATAAACAACCTAAAGAGTTGTTGATGTTATCATCGAACAGATTGACATGCACGTTCTTCACGTTTTCAGCAGATTTTCTCAAACGCATAACTACGAGACCTTTTTTAGTGTTTTTTGTTTTCTTCAGACGACCCGTTTTCACATTTTCTTTATTTTTAAAATATTCAGTGTGAAATAAATAAAAACTGACTTGATTTGATTTGACTTAGTATATTATCAAGGTTGTCAAAAAATAGCGTGAGACTGTTAAAAACAATAGGCCAGTTATTTAAACGGAGCTTAGCCAGTGTTTAACAAAACCGCGTTCTAAGCCATTTTCAGTTTGGTGGACGCTTTTATGTCAACACCATTTATCGTGAACATTAAAGCGTGTAAGGTGGACTGGAAAAGCATTTGTCTTCTTAAAAAAACCCACTAAGGAAGAGATCTGGAGGTTCAAAGATTTCCTCAACCGCGCGGATCTAAGTTAGACTTCGTTTAAATAACCGACCCAATGTGTCGACCTCAAACAAATCGAATTTTTTTTTTTTGAGAAAACGTACATTGCTAACATTTGATGTAACTTACTTGAATTGCTGCATGAGACTTTGTGTGTTGATCAACGAGATTCCTCAGAGCCAGAGGAGACACTGTCCAAAAACAATAAATAAAGACAAATTACAAAGATCACAACGATTTTTCACATAACTATTCCTTAGCACAGCTTCGGTTACGTGTATGTCACAGGTCAAGGGTATTTACAAGGCTACATTTTCGATCAGCCTACGTTGTTTACGAAATCTGATTTTTTTTATCCTGGAAATCGAGGGTAAATGAAGAAAACAGAAGGGATTTTTTATATGTATATATTTTTTGCATGACTGAAATGCCGGTTTCTTAAGAATATTCACGAAATCATCATAAGATTTACTTACGGGGTGAATTATCCAGCGTTGATTTATTATGCGGAAATTTGCTAGGAGAATAGTTTTGTACAGCGTCCCCATTTGCGTGATTTCTCGGTTTGGAAGGTGACTGCTCCTGTTTTGTTCCACCTTTCATTGGTTCCTCGCCTTTCATAGCACAAATCTGCAGGCGGTAAGAAAAAGAAAATAAGCGGGCTTCGACACTTTTCCAGCTTACAGAGAGGTACCACTCGCCCCATGTAAGGTACCACTCGCCCCATGTAAGGACAAGGTACTCCGGATTCCGGAATTCAGGAAATTTTTGCTGGTGGTGGAATCCGGAATTCAGCCCAAGGAATCTGGAATCCACAGCCTTGAATCCAGAATCCGGCAAGACACCACAGATAATTCTTACAGGACATTCTTGTCGATTCTTGGATTCAGTGGTTACTTTGCCATCATCTGTAATTCTAAGTCAATTTTCGGAAAATATCTGTTCGTGAGACGATTTGAGATCTAGAATTTTCGGAACATTTGTTGTAAAATTTCTTTCCTGCCTGTCTCTCCTAGAAATTTCGAGCATCTAAAAAATGGTATAATTGAACAGTTTTAACGGATTTTTACCCTACAAAGGTCACCTAGAATTTTCGAAAAGGTAAGTTTTGATCCCTATAATTTTCAGATCACTAGACTTTCAGCTAGGAGATCCGAACAGATGAAAAATTTTTAGGGGATAAAAATATGCCCATATCTACCGTTTAAATACTAAAATAAGTTTAACAATGCTATGTTTAAGTGGTTTTGGACTATATTCCCGTTGGTTGCCCCCGTTCTATAAGCGCTTCTTGCATCTCACAATTCCTTCGCTAATTGAATAACGGCTTATATCATATAAAAGGAAGGTTTAAATAACAAAGCAAAAAACAAAAAAAGGCACGGATGCGCAAACTAAAAGGTTAGAAGGGATAAATGCCGTGGCATGCGTACTGTTAAGCTTGACAGTTTTTCAAAGTTTGTCTCTATTCTTTGTAACTTTGAAAATAACTCTCCGGAGACGTATTTTTTGTCACGAAACTGTTATTTTGCCTTTTACAAGTACTGTAATTTCTTCCCAAAGAGCAGTAACAGTCGGCTCTTTTCTGATCTTCATTAACTGCTTTCTGAGCGCCGCGTTTTGTAAGGGCATGTTTACATGGAGGTGGGCAACCCAGGTTGGCGAGGTAACCCGCTTTAACCCGCCTGTTTATATAATCTCTCATTTTAATCTGATCACGTTTTCACGTTAACATATTACTTCACTTAGCTGGGGTCCCCCACCTCCATGCAAACAGGCGTTAAGGTCTAATGTCGACACGAGGCTTCAAAACAATGCCTATCGTTAACGGTCCTATAGTCCCAACAATTGTCGGTAGATCTTCATCACGATTTGCAATTACGGCTAAATCAAGAATTCTTGTCTCTTGGCCAAAATCCCACAATAATACGCCCCATAATACACCCGATACCTTTCGGTCTTAAATCCCCGATGACATATGCCAGGAGGTTTTTGCGTAGCTGTCGTCCTCTTCTCTGTCATCTGAATCGGTTGGGACTTTATCTCTCAAACTATCAACGTTCCCCATTCCCGGAATCCCCTCAACATTCAAGTGCAGGTTGTTTCACACAGAACCTTAACTTCTTTTGAGGTTACACCTTCCCTCACGAAATCATCAAGCAACATCAAATGACTATATCAATTTCCTCACGAATTCAGGGTCAACTTTGGTGGGCTTTGTTATGTAATGTCTCAATTTTATGTTGCATATGAACGAAAAGAGATCGTAAATTATGTCGAAAACAACACGTCAAAATCGATAAATCGCGGTCCTTGACAAGTCCAAGGAGTCCTCGAAACACAAGAGTGCACCCCTGTTTACTCTTGTCCACATTGACATTGATAATTTACTCTTGTCCACATTGACATTGAGAAAAGCATCCTTTGACTGTCTCACACATGTACACATGCGCCATCCTCTTTTCACGAAATCGCGGCATGTACGCATTCCATATAATATCGTCAACTCTTCACTCGCGGACAAGCACCTAGCACCTCACTACTACGGAATTCTGAATTCCCGACAGTACGGGCAGCTAGCTTGTAGCTAGCTATTGTAGCTCCCAGGCACAAATAAATTACGGACGTTTGAATGACATGAACATCCAGTCGTCGTTTGGGTGCATTCATTAATGGTAGTTGACCGTAACCGATTAGGCGACGATCCCATGCATGTGAAAGCAATCATTCAGAGACGTACCTGACGCTTTTTTCCTTCGAAGAGGCATCATCGTAAACAATTCTTACCTTGGTTGTTACGGCCTCTCTTCGAATGATGGCAGCTTGGTGATGTAAATCCCGACAGATGAAATTCTTTCCCTGACCTCCACCTGAACTTTGCCAAAAAGCGGTTTAAAATCAGCCTTTTTAAGTCCGCAATTTAAGGAATTTGCTGTAAACCTTCAAGTCAAGTACATTCAGATTGAACGAGACTTTTACATATGTTGATTGAAGTTTGGTTTTACACGGCCCGAGAGAATTCATCCTTATTCTCCTTCCACTGCTTCCGGCTCATCAAGTTTTTCCCATGATCATACATTCCGTAGTACTGAAAATTTAACAGATGATCTGCACCCACTACAACACCTATTTCTAATTTGTCACATCCCTTACACGCAACGGAGAGCCACAGAACCGCTACATTGGGACGACACTTACCTTAAAAAAAGGTATAGCCAATTCTATATGGCCGCTATGGATGCTAGACATTCCGGAAACTACATGCGCCCCTCTTTGGATAAATTTCTTCAATCTTTTTGGTCTCGACGGGACTCACCTGCGCATCAACTGGTAAAGACGTCTCCATAGAGCGCTGTCCAAAGGCGCTGATTCGCCGCCAATCCTGCCTAACAGAAAGCTGCGTTCAACGAGCGGTATTAGGAGACGTGACGAACGGGCGACTACTTTCAGTATCGAAAAAAAAAAAAAAACCCTGACCCTGTAAGGGTCGACCTTTCAGTGGATTACTCTACATGCCTGTGCTGTTTGTAACGCAACTCGCTCTCTGCGCTTACATATACATCGGCTCAAACATCGGCAAAACGTAGAATTTACGAGCAGTAAGACTTAACTGGAAAACTGCTTATACTGAGACAGATCACTGCCGTTCTCAGCCACTTTTGATATAAAAAAAACATCTTTATACACTCCCATTTATACACTCGGTAACCATGGCATTTAAAACGCATAGAAAATCGATTACATTCCTTTAAATTCTGAATTTTCTGACAGTTTTCCTGGGCATGTTTGACCAAAGAGACCGGACAGTTCCCATAGCGGCGCTTGGTATGCACAACAGTTCGCGGTTCCATCATCCAAGTAAAAGAAATCAGTAACTTTTTTCCAGAACTTCTATGACCCGCTCGGATTTTTTTTGCTTCTTTTCGATCTCCTTCTTTTTCCTGTCATAGGGAACGACCTTCTCTACCAGCAACTTCAACTGACAATCTTGGTCGGTCTTCGCTAGCCTGACATAGTACCTGGCTCGAAGGACCACTGTGCTCAGGAATATCCACTTTCAATGGCTGTATTTTATCGTCATAGATTACGAGTAATGACTTCCACAATCTGCTCTTTTTTTTTCAATTCTTTATCACAACAAATACGGTTCTTAAGATTCGGTCAGACGTTGCTATGTACAGCTGATTGAAAAAAGTGTCATCGCATGAAAAATATAAACAAGGAATGATGAGACCTAATGGATTAATTGGTAGAAAATTATCAACATTGCAAAATTCAAAGTTCTTATTACAAACGCTTAGGCACGAGCTTCACGAGTTTGAACAAGGTTCAAACTGTTTCCAGTTTTCTTGGCGACAAGCCGACAACTTCACCTCTGGACACGCGTTTCTCTTCAAAGAGATCTCTCTAGTTACTGAGCATGGCAACATCGCCAACGTACACTTTAAAATCATAAGATGAGACGTAAAGGTTTTCTGGGAAGATTTGAATGAAGGACGGCATGCCTAAAATAAACTACAGTTTTTTTCATCCGCATGCGAAGCTCGTGATAATGTAAGCTTTTCTTTTTGAAATTTCGGCTAATAAAAAAACATACCCATGAATCCTTTAAGCCTCGTCGTTCATGGTTCATACTTTTATGAAAGCGACAACGTTTTTTCAATATATAGTGTACGTAGTCATTACCAGACATAGATAATGTCGGATATCAATTATCAATAATTATGCTTACTCCTAAAAACCGAACGCATGTTTTAATTTGTATAATGCAATCTCCTATTTGATAGCGTAAATCACATTAGAAAGACAATATTGTCTCTTTAGAGGGGGGTGGCGCTGTGACGCATTTCAGAACATATAATAACCTAACCTAAGTAGAATAACCTAAGAATAACCTAAGTCC